CAACCATATGAATGAGTTTGGAAGTAGATTCTCCAGCCCCAGTCAAGACTTCAGATTGAGACTGTAGCCCTAATGGACAGCTTAACCACGCTTCTTGAGAGACCTCAAAACAGAAGTACCAAGATGAACTGTACCCAGATTCCCAACCCAAAGAAACTGTGAGATAATAAATGTATTTTGTTTTAAGCCACTAAATTTTGGAATAATTTGTTCTACAGCAATGAGTAACTAATATAAACATACCTGGAACACAGCTTACTCAACCTTTCAATTAATAGGGAATTGACTACCTCACCAAGCCATCTATTCAAGTGGCAGAGAGCTATTTAACATTCTTAGGTTGTCCTATTTTGACCCCTGGAGTAACAAAGGATAGTCTATTCCTTCTTCTATCTGACAATACCTCAAATATTAGTACAGGTCAGTGATCAGGACTTCTCAAAGTTATTTTATCAACAGTTCCTTGACAAATTTGGAGGTTCCTTCAATATCTGGTTACTGTTTCAAGGACAGATTCCAGTCTGCCAATCCCTTTCCTACAATGTGGTGCCAGGAATGAAATACTACACACTGCTAATCCAGCCAGATCACTGTTCCCCTCCCACAGAATTCTCTTATTCTGGGTGCTACACTATCACTGCTGCCTAAGACTGCATATGCCTTTTGGGGATATTTAAGGTTCCAGCATTGAGTTACTTAATATGTGTAAGCTTACAAGTCAAATAAAACCCTAGGCTTCACTCCACAATACACACATAAACTGCAGGTCTTTCCAATCACATAGCTTGATCATTCTCTTAATTAGTTAAATTGATTTTTTCCAAACCTAGACAGGTTTAGGAGCTCTGGTGGTATAGTGTCTAAGGCATTTGACAGCTAACCAGAAGCCTGGTGGTTTAAACCCACCAGCCACTCCTCGGAAGGAAGACTGGGCCATCTACTTCTGTAGAGATACCACCTCAGAAACCGAAGGAGGGAGGGGTCACTATGAGTCGGAATCAACTCGACAGCAGTGAGGTTTTTTTTTTTTGTTGTTGTTGTTAGATATAAGCTTATCTCCATTAAATGCCACCAAGGTCATTGTTGCACTCTTGATTTTGTCATTTGTCCTATAGGACAGTCCTCTAGTACTGCATAATTGGTAAATTTACATAACCCTGCTCAGATCATTAATACAAGTTAAAATTGTTCAGGTCATTAATAAAAATAGAGAACAGGACAGAGAAGAGGAAAACATCATTTGGACTTTGGATTTTCACAGAGCTGTATATTATAAATTAACCCTGGGTGATTTAGCAGTAATTAAACAGAAAAAAAATTCAATTTTAACTACTCTCTGACTGACATTAAGAAAACATATCATCCCCTTCCCTCAGGCTATTTTCTGCTTTAGCTTAGTTTCCATGCATTAATGTTTTAAATTTTCATGAAATCCTGTTTTCTTACCTATACTTCTCACTTGACTCCAATTACTCCAGAGGTTGTTATCTTCAGAGCAGTATTTATTTGTTCTGACTCTTATTCTGACTGTGTTCAAAGTATCAGGAAGAACACTGGGGACCAAGAAACAGATTCTGCCCTTGGATATAAAATCAAAACACACAAGGAATATTATCAGTTTATTCTCATTCTCTGCTACTGAATCCTGATGTGATTCTCTGCCAAATTCTACATATGTTTAAAGTTTGCATTGGAATTTAAATCATCTGACTATGACTTCTGAAAAAAAAAAATACATTGGTAATAATCCAAAGAACAAAATGTTTTTTTAAATCTCAAAGCAATACAAATTTAGGCCATTGCCCATGTTGCCCCACCCCAAACTGCTCTATAAATCTAAGCACAAATAGCTAAATTTGAATGTACTGACCTCTAAACTCTGACATCTGATCTCTTCAACCTTGAAAATGAAAAACAATGAATGAGTCAAAAATTTGCAAAAACATATTTTATGTCATTTAACAGTTTAACAAGCTTTCCTTTTATCTCTGGTGGCATAGAGATAAGGCACTTGACTGCTAACTAGAAGGTTAGCCGTTCAAACCCACCAGCCACTCCTTGGAAGGAAGGTTGGGCAATCTACTTCTGTAGTGATACCACCCTGGAACCCAAGGAGCGGTCGCTATGAGTTGGAGACGAATCAATGGCACCTAACAACAACAACAATGAAGACAACGTTTAGTGAATAAAGGCTGATCTTTTTAATAAGTGGTACTGGGTCAATTATAAATGCATATGGAAAAAAAGAATAATGACTTTTACTTTTGACCTCACACTATTTACAAAATCAATTTCAGATGGATTGTAGGTCTAAATGTGAAAGGTAAAATAAACAAACAAGCATATATATAAATAAAGCAAGCTTTTAGATGAAAATGTACAACGGTTTCATGATCATGAAGGAGGAAAAGTTTTCTTAAATAGGACAAAAACATTAACCATCAGGGAAAATTTTTATAAAGTGGTCTATATTAAAATTAAAAACTACTTCTGTTCATCAAAAGACACCATAATAAGAAAATAAAAAGGTAATGCATAGCATGGGAGAAGATAGCTGCATTTTCTGACATAGGGCTTGTATATGTTATTATATCTATCACAAACACACACACACACATTAAGTACAAAGTAATGAAGAAAAGACAGATAACTCAACAAAACCCAACAGAAAAACTGGCAAAATATTTGAACAACTATTACACGAGGGGATATATGCAAATTTCTACTAACATATGAAAAAATTATTAACCTCATTGATTACAAGGGAAATGCAAATTGAAACCACAAGATACCAATACACACACCTATCAGACAATACCACATGTTGGTGAGGATATGATGCATCTGGAACTCTCAATTTTCTGCTGTTGGTAGCGTAAATTTGTACAAACATTTTGGAAAACTGTTTCTTATCTACCAGAGATGATTATGTGTAACCTCATGACTCATACGCCTACACATATGGCCAACAGAAATGTATAAAACATGTGTACAAAGAGACAAGTGTACAGATATTCATAATACTATTCATAAAATCCCAAACTGGAAACTATCCAAATGTCTCTCAGTGGGAGAATGGAGAAATAAAATGTAGAATATTCACAATGGAATGAATATAATGAGAAGGAACCATCTATAATTACAGGCATCAATATAAGTGAATCTCATGAACATACTATTGAGGAAAAGAAGCCAGATACACAAAAAAGTAAGATCTACCCATTGAGAAGGAGCTCTGGTAGCATAGTGGCTAAAGCACTTGACTGCTAACCAGAAGGCTGGCGGTTCAAACCCACCAGCCACTCCTCG